AAATAAACCTGGAGACCTGCTGCAACCGCTGCTTAAGCACCGGTGCCGAGAGGCGGCTGTTTAACCAATGACCATGGGCGCTGGGAAAAACACGAGCATCGCGCAACGAGGCAGGATTGCTCTCAGGAGCTGGTCCAGAGCTGAGGCTGGAGTGCGGAGAGCACGGCCGGGCCAGGACCCTTCAGCACGGACAAGGTGAGACCATGAAGGCTCTTTACTTCCAGCAGCTGTAAGTCACAGGGCGAAGCCACAGCGCTGCCCAACGGGGACAAAGGCTTGCAAAAAACTTGTTTGGCTCTGAGCGTGCATGTTCATGGTCTCGGCTCCCCACAGGCTCCAAACTCCTCTTCCATCACCCCAGCGTGCTTGGGCTGCCAGCAGCTTGACCCAAAAGACAGATATTTTTCAGAGAACTATCTTAACTGCTTTCATTATTTCCTAAAAGGTTGTGATTCACAGAAACGAGCGCTATTTGGCCACAAAGGTGATGAGTCTTTGAGAACTGTTCTCTGACATCCCTGGTCCTGCTGCAAGGAAAAGCCTATCAAGGTATGGTTTTGTTGCATTGCGAAGGACGCCGGCAGCAGTGGAAGAGGTAACGGTAATAACAGCAGGGTGAAATCCTGCCCTCCAGCGACAACCAGAGCTGCCGGGGCTCGTGAGGACAACCTCAAGGGAAAATGGGCACAGAAGGTATTTTCCTTCCCAAAGCTGCAGAGGAACCATGGAAAAAAATGGGGAGAAATTACTGCAGGACTGGAAAGGAATTAACGCCCTGTGGCTTTGCAGGGAGGGAACCGGCCTCTTGACCAGTGGTGACGAGGCCAGTGATTTTGCTGCCTACCTCCCTCTGCACAGGACTGGGGAGACCTTCTGCCAGAGGCACGGTGCCACCATGCCCCGGGGCACAAACAAAACCCGAGCGATGAGCAGGGACAGAGCTATCTCTTTGCAGGCACCAGCCCCCCAGGGTGGAGGACCAGCAGGATGAGCCCACCGTGGTGACCAGCACCCACCTCGGACCAGTCGCCAGTTTTCCACTGGGGGCACAAGAAGTCGCTGCATCGCTGCACCGTCAGCTTCTCCTGCTGGCTGCACTTGCTGTCGTCCAGGACGTCGTTGTAGGTGTTCACGCACATGGCTCGCCGCCGCCGCGTGCCCCCGCCGCAGCTCTTGGAGCACTGGGAAGGAGAGACACCAGATACTTTCTGCCACGCCGTCACAGGCCCACAGCCCGTTTATTTCCTTCTCCCCGCCTGCAGTCAGGACTGTGAAAAGACTGCAGAAAACCTCCGGAAGAACAATTTGTACTTTAAGTAGCAGGATGTTGCTTTGTACGTTCCTTTAAAAATCCAATCTTGCTAAGCTTAATAAAATCACACAGCAATGAGTTTCACAAATTCATCTCAGGTTATAACCCCATTATTACTTTCACAAGTGTTGCCATTCAGTTCTCCCAAATGGCTGTTGCTTGTTCTCATTTTAGGAGAGATTAATTCTCTCTAACCAGCTTGCCCCCTTCACCGTGCCCTCCCTGGAAAGCCCCAGGCTCGTCATTCTCTCAGTGCTAGGTCTGCATTCAGGAATAATCTTGGCCACGGAAAAGTACTCTGCTGAAAAATGTGAAGGAGACAAATTTCGGAGGTCCTCCACTGACGGTAACACGTCCTCTTGGCTCCTGCCAGCGGGGCTGGCTGCGGTGAGAGAAGACAGCCAGCAAGGCTTAGCATAATGAAGACAGACCTTAGGATGCTTAAAAGCATGAATTCATTGCAGTGGAAAATTAGGAGTACCAGGCTGATTTGGACTACAGCGTCCTCCAGAAAAAGCAGCGGAAGCAGAACCACCGTGGCCAGCTTTTATACGCTGTACGCAACCTAAACGGTCTGACAGCCCCATGGGAGGAGGAGACGGTGTCTGCGTAACCGCTGAGCATCCCTTACCTCGGTCCAGGCCGAGTACCGCCACCCTCCCACGTTACAGTCTCCAGTGCACTTCTCCCTCGCGCTCGGCTTGGGCTGGCTGCTGCAGAAGCGATCGTCGACCTTCTCTATCTTGCCCTCCAGCCGGCTGTACTTGGAGCAGTAGATCTCCAGGGTGCGGTACCCCAGCCCGCACTGGGCCGTGCACTCGCTCTTCCTCGCGACGTGCCACCTGCGCCAAGGAAAGCTGACGTCAGCCCTCGCGCGGCAGAAACCCACGACCCCACGCGAAGGCTTGGAGAGGATCAGAAGCAGCTGTGGGGCTATGGGACTCTGCAGGTAACATGCTCAGCGGTGTTTGACATAAATAAGGAATATATGCTCTTGAACTGGAAGTTTTGGCTCTTTATAATACTCCCCAACGCTTTGTGGCTTCCAAAAACCTGAGGCAGTTAACCCTAGCACTGCTCCTTGTGGGGAAGGAACTGTCACCAGGTCCCTCTTACAGGCAGCAAAGCCACGCTGCGACCCTGCGGGACCACGCGCGGTGGTGGGGGGAGTCCGTGGCCAAGCGAGGAGCGGTGCTTTGAAGGCTTTCTACCCCACGTTCCCCTGCAGGAGTGCCTCTAAAACCAAAAAGTTGAAAAACACATTATCAGAAACCCAACTGCACAGGCTTGAATGGTGTGACAAGGCATTCCACAAGGCAGGATGCCTGCAAAGAGTTTCAGCTCTCCAAAGCGTCAGCAAACGAACTGCTTCAAGACACACGAGTGTCAGCGGGGATTAGGGTCGTTCCCTCTGGACGGACGGACTCCCACCCTGGTGCCTCCTTCCGGGGAAGGGCGGCAAGGGCTGGCGCTGGTGGCCCTCAAGGACCCAGCCGGGATACAGCCCTGGCAAGACACCGGGCCTGATCCAGGGAGACGTCGGAGACCCTGGAGTCAACCGGAGCTGACTCCTCCCGCACCTCAGAGGGGTGGCTGCCGGGGAAGGGGACGGTGAGGTCCCCTGCGGGTCCTGTGCGGCGGGCGCAGAGCCCCTCTCCTTCGCTGAGAGCGCAAAGCTCAGGACTCCTGGGAGGAGAGTAGGGTCAAGGGGATTTGGGGTCAACAGCTCCTGAGCGGTGAAGCGCTCACATCCCTGCCTGCTTTCCAAACTCCTGCATCTGCCCTTCTCAAGCTTCCGACCTGTTGCAATGGCAACAGCTGTTACCGCAACCACCGCACCTACAGCCCCTACCCCAGCCCCTACCCCAGCCCCGGGGTTAACGCAGCCAGAGAAGCCCCTCGGGGAACACGGCCATCTGAATTGCTTCACCAGCAGCCGTTTAGTGCCACCATAGCTAAGCTCCAGAAAGGAAAACAGATTGCTTTTAAAGGGAAAACGCGTTGTGATGATTTAGGCCATGCTCCATCAATTCCAGCTCGCCAGGAGTTGTCTGGGGACAGCCCCAAACCCGCTCGACACTTAAGCCTATTCTTCACTTTAAGCAAATGATGATAAATCCAAGTCTTAGTTACTCTTTTGCTTTGAGCATATGTTTTTTTCCCCTCTTTGCAGGCTGTTTGTAGGATGGTGCTGAGCATTTCTGATCCAGGCAGATGTGAATTTCAGGCGTTTCATCGCACAGGGAGATTCTTCTACACTAGGTGAAATTTTTTCTAGTTAGCACTAATTTAGTGCAACAAGAGAAACGTGAAAACGTAGAAAAGCGCCTCTCAAAACACAGCTGGTGTGTGTCAATCCCTCCTGGCTGACAAAGAGAGGCAAGTGCTAATCCTTTTCTTTTTTTAAATCTAATACAGGCTGGTGAGAAAAGGAATTATAGCGAGAGGTGAAAGGAAAGAGGAGTAAACAATAAATATATGATGTAATGTATATACACAGCTGAGTAGAGTGCACCTTAATTCACATTCTGTGCTACAAGGCTCAGTGACGGGGTCAGGCTGGGGAATTCGATCACATCGCTGGTCCGACACTGTGAGCTGATCCGACTCTCTCGTACACACGGGCTTCCTTTTTCGCTCTCCTACGCAGGAAAAAAACGCGTTGAGTCACACGGAAAAGCGATCAAATCAGTTATTTCTCTTACTCCTTTTACAGTAGCATTTCAAAGACATTTAATTACGCTTTTAAATCTCTTTCAGAAAGAGGGAGGGGGTTAAGGCTCCCTACGAGGAGCGGAAGGTTTAACGCGGGCAGGGAGCTGCAGCGCGCCTGCAAGGGTGGGCTCTGGGCGTTTAGCAGGGTCAGCCCTGGCAGGAGGCAACGACCGGGTGTCAGACCCCAAACCAGACACCGGTGCCTCCTGCAGCCTTGGGCAATGCCACGTAACCTCTTCTGCGCTTGAGCTGCCTCGCCTGCAAGCCAGGCTGCAAGGCTTACCTGGCTCGGGGGGCTGCAAAGTGCCCTGCTCCGAAACCCAGAAGCACCAGAGCAGTGCTAGACCTCGTACGATGTTATCTGCTACCGCAGCCCGGGGAAAGAATCACGCCCATAACGTGAGAATCTCAAAGAAATGAAACGGAGAGGGATTTGACAACGCTGCCCAGATGCCAGACAAATCCGGGACAAAATTAAGCCTTCCCAAGCACCCACCTTGGCAGAGCTTACTGCAGGGCTGCCACGGGCCGTACGCATTCCAGTAAAACTGCTGAGGTTTGTCCTCAATGGGGATATTAAACGTGTAACGAACGTCGGGATTGTACAAATTGCCCACTGATAAAACCTGAGGGAAAGAAAGATGAAGCAGAGTAAACCAACAGACTTCGCTGCCACCGTTTTCAGTCCAATAATGCTGAGCAGACTTTTCCACACGCACAACATATACGTCACCTGAAGCGTTATTTCTTGCTCAATCCGATCTGTAGAATTAATCCTTTCAATAGCATTATCCGATCCGCTGTATTCGATCACAGCATTCCCAACTTTGATTTCCCTTTTAAACATACTGACGACAAAGTCTCCATTTAATATAAAGTCTCCTTGACTGTTAGATAAGGCTGCATAGGTGCAAAAAACAAGAACTAAAGACGCAGAATTAACTCATACGTACATAATAACGTGGGTCATGCGCTCTCAGTGCTCCCCTTCATTGGGGTGGGAGGAAAAGCCCACTGGCGCTCTCAAACAGAACGGACGTGAAGAGAGCAGCAGAGCTCTTACAGACATTGTGCCTTCTCCTTTTCCCACCGGAGAGCCTCATTAAAACGAAGGCTGGATGCCTGACGTTGCTGCTAAATAGTTCACCCATAACCCAGGGCAGAGAGACACCCAAAGGCACGCCGGGCCGGCTGCCGTACGCGGCGCACGCAGTCTGCATCCCTGCGCGTACCGCAGAAATAACCCTGCCCGAATCGTTCTGTTAGCCGTGCGGCTAGGGTGGCTTCCCCGTTGTTTCCAGGTGTGTTCTTAGGGCAAATGTATGTACCCTAATTGCCCAAACGTCATTTTCTAGTAGATAATTACAGGGACTTTGGTCAGCATCTCCCCCTCTCTCCCCCTCCTCCCCCCATACTTTTTATTATTCCAAATCTTAAGGTATGTGAAAGCACTGAAGGCTTAAAGCCTAAATGCTTTATAAAAGGAACAGTTTCCTGAAAACAGCAGTCTGCTGCACAACTTCACACTAATGCGATTATGTAGCTAATTTCCTAAGTTAGTTTCCCCACCATTTCACCCATCACAGCTACATTACTACAAAGCCTCTGTACTGAAAAATCTAAACCTAACACCAAAACACCAAAGGGAAGGTTTTTACACGGAATAAGGAGAGATAATGAAGCAAAACATTGCTTGGTAGCAAACAGACATAGATGGAGGAAAACCTCACAAAGCGAACGCTGTACTTAACAAAATTCCACACTTTGCAGGCTTTAATGTCATTAGGCAGTAGTAAAACTCATTAAAGGATTCCTTCCCGTTTACTGTATCTGCTACAACAGTAGGTACACGTCCTGGACTTGATGACAACATCAAATTCCTCCTAAATTGTTAAGCAACTACAAGGTTCACAGTACTGAGGGCCCAAGATTTCACACTCAGTGAGCTGCAAAATAAGTGGACACATGCACACTTCTCATTTGCTTCTAGTCAGGCCTAATGTGAAGAGATGCTTTCCCAGCAATATTAAAGCAACATTAAAGAAGATTTGACTTCATTGCTTCCCAAGAAGATTAAAGGCCCTCCAAGAAGAGCTGAGAAGTTCTTTGGGGCTCCTTCTGGGGTGAACCAGTTTGAATAGGCACAACACAGGGAGGATTGTTTTTCTAGAAAAGAGGAATAACGCAACGTACCTCCCTCCCCCAGAATGGAAAACTATCAGATCTCAGTAAGGTTTTCTTGCTACTGATGTGCATTCCTGGATCCTGCATCCATCCAATGCAGGATGGAATTCCTGCACCATCTCATTTCACTGCTGTGAACGTGCAGAAACGATGCAACGCGGCTGCCATCGAACGGCCACGTGCGCGCAAGGACATGGTGCCTTGCGTGGCCCCGGCAGGACAGGGAGGACCCCCTCAGATTTTTGCCTGAATGAAGGGTCTGGCTGCATGGATGGCCTTTCCGAGCGGCAGCCAGAGCTGTCAGCACCGTTTCCCTGTGGTGCACCATAGTCTCCTCTACTTGTTTCTTAAGTGACACAAAGAAATGAGTTCCCTCACCTTCAACGGGCTAGCAACCCCCAGCCTAGTCCCATTTTTAACATGCCCAAATACAGCGAGCACTTGGGCTAAGCAAAGTATTTTGCAAAAATGCTCAAGAACTCGGAGATTTTACAAGATGAAACGAGATGATGTGCCCTGCTCCGGGGTGTAAATAAGGGACCCTGCGCTACCAGGAGTGCAGCTGGCGGAGCCAGGCACAGGGCGTGAAGAAGAGGAGGAACAGAGCTGGCGAAGAGCCATCTCCCCGGGACCACAAGGGCCCACAGCCCGACTCCCTGCCCCGTCAGCAGGCAGAACAGACCCGGAGGCACACAACCGGGGCTCACTGGCAAAACCAGCCTTCAGCTGGCAGGGCTAACATCGGTCGTAATGTGCGGTCGTGCTATCTCCGCCACTGAAGACAGACAGAACTCCCCGTGGGGTGAATTACTGATCAGCACGGTGGAAAAGAGAGAGACACGTGGCCATGCTAAAAGTGTATGTGTGTGCAGCAGGCTGGTCTTAACATAGCACCGCCAGCATTTTCATCTGGCTCTAGAGATGTACCCACACATTAGAGAAAACAGTGACTAGGAACGTCCGACAGCCAAAGGCCAAGTTATTGTTAGGTTTAAATCAAACCAACAGCTTTGGCGCAGGGTGTTTCATCACAGTTACGTACCACTGTCACGCAGCGACAAGAAGGGCTCAATCTAAGTGAAATCAGAATTACTGTTCTCGGGGTATAGAAAATAATTTCTCTTTGGATTTGTTTGTACACACGTCTTTCGGGGTATGGCATATTTACTCTCCAGCCAAGGCATGGTGACAGCAGAGACATGTTAAGTGTCAATGAGGAGACTCCAGCAGAACTGAGAAGCCTGTTTGGTTCCCAGCTTTGTGCCTCAGCTCCCACCCACAGCCCAGGCTTGATACTCCTTCCCAGCCGCAGATATCCTCTAAGGGGATATTTCTTATAACGTAAGAGCCTCCCAAACTTTGCATCAAGGATGACACGAACAAAAAGAAGGAGCAAGATGAGGCTGAATGTTTGGTAGATGTATGAGATCCCTTAAATGAATTCTTCATCCTCCCCAGCAGAGAGCAGCCAGTAGGTCTATCACCACAAACCAGACAATAAAGCAGAGTTTTGGACTGAAACAAGCACTGCAACTCACCCAGGTAGTTGTCATCCTCTGGTTTCCCTGAGTAACTATGCTGACGTACATCAATATTTGTTGCACCAGCTGGGATGCGGACCACAACGTTATAGCCTAGAAAAGATTTAACAGAAAGTCATGGCTATTACACAGACATTTCATTTGCTTTTTACAGGAGGAAGGGAAATGAGCAAAATTACCTCACATTACACAAGCTGATACTTTTCATTTAGGGATAGCATAAATAGTTATAAAATGGAATATGCTATAGCTAGAAGGATTTTGCATTTTACATCACTGTTTTTGTAGATTAAGTGTGGTAATGGCTTTTATAGACCCGCATATTTCACTATAAAGTTTTTAGCAACAGATTCTTACCATAATGCACCGTGTTAAATGTGCCCGCAACAGTTTTGCATGAAGAATTATCCCCACCACAAACACCACATTTATCTCTTCTTGCTTTTGAATTCAGCACATGATCGCATCCAGCTTGCTTTAAGAGAAAAATTGAAAAAAACAGATTGAGCAAATACAGACTGGAACAACATTTACAAACCTCCCAGTTAAGACACACAAAGGCTTTGTATGCAAAAGGCTGCCATGAGACAAACTGGTTTGCTTCCCCACATTTTTCTGCTGATTTACAGTGTGGCCATCCCACACCATTTTCAAACAAAAGGCTTTTTTGCAAAGCGAGAATCAGAACTGCCGTTTGCACCAGGCGATGCCTTCACTAGAGAAAACTTCTTGCATTGATTGTTCCCATAGATAAAAGTGTGAAAAATAATGGCGAAATGTAAAGTGCTCCGGGGTCTGACCGGGAAGAACCGGGGCAGAGCACAGAAGGAAGCAGCGTTTCGAGTCAGGCTCAGACCTCCACAGCCCTCAGTAATGAAGGGCAGATGTACAGACATCCTCCACTTGAGCGTGTCCAAAGAAGAGCAACGAAGCTGGTGAGGGGTCTGGAGAACAAGTCGTATGAGGAGCGGCTGAGGGAACTGGGGGTGTTCAGTCTGGAGAAGAGGAGGCTGAGGGGAGCCCTCATCGCTCTCTACAGCTACCTGAAAGGGGGTTGTGGTGAGGTGGGTGTTGGTCTCTTCTCCCAAGCAACAAGCGATAGGACAAGAGGAAATGGCCTCAAGTTGCGCCAGGGGAAGTTTAGATCAGTTATTATGAAAAATTTCTTCACTGAAAGGGTT